ATATATATATATACATATATACACACACACACACTTATATATATAGTTGTTACATGCATTCGAGTCAGTTCTGACTCAGAAACCCTGTATAGGGTTTCCAAGGAGCAGCTGGTTAGCTTGAACCACCAAACTTGCAGTCCAGAGCATTAACCTACAGTGCTACACCAGAACTCCATACACACACACACACATACATATCTATATACATATATGACTTCCTTATATATACATACACATATGCATACATATATACACACATACATACATATATGTGTATGTTGTTAAGTGCTGTCAAGTTGGTTCTGACCCATAGCAACCCTGTAAGGGGTTTCTGAGGAGCATCTGGTGCACTTGAACTATGGACCTTGTAGTTCAAACCTACTTTGCAGTCCAGTGCATTAACCCACAGTGCCATATCAGAATTCTATCTATATATATGGTGTCCTGGAGTCTGTTCCAACTCAGAGCGACCCTGCATAGGATTTCCGATGCTGTAAATCTTTACGGGAGCAGAAAGCCTCATCTTTGTCCTGTGGAATGGCTGGTTTTGAACTACCGACCTTGAGGTTAGCAGCCTGACTCCTAACAACTACGCTACCAGTATTCCCTGATTTAGTATTCCCTGTTAGGTCCATAAGATTTTTTAAGCCACAAATTTAACATGCAACAAAAGCAGTGGCACGCAACCACCACCAAGGCTAAGAACAGAATCCTGGTGTGGCGTGGTAGGATAAGCACTGGACTGCTAACTCCGAGGTTGGTGGTTCTAACCCATCAGCAACTTCTTGAAAACCCTAAATATACAGGGTAACTATGGGTCAGAACTTAGTAATAAGGCTAAACAGGAGGTGGCTCTATAGGATTAGCACTGGACTATGAACCACAAGGTTGGCAGTTCAAGTCTACCAGTTATTCTGCAGGCAAAAGATGAGGTGTTTTGCTCCCGCAAAAATTTACAGCCTCAAAAACTTACACAGGATCGCTATGAATAGGAACCTACGTGACAGCACTTAACAACAACAACGCTAAGCAAATTATTGAACAATACCATTAATGTTGTTGTTGTTAAACGCCGTCAGTCAAGTCGATCCTGACCCATAGTGACCCCGTATAGGGTTTCTGAGGAGTGGATTAACATTACATACAAGTAAAATTTTACTGAAGATAATTAAAAATGATTGCAGTAGTACATTGACAGAGTACTAACACAAATTCAAGCCAGATTCTGAAGAGGACGTGAAGCAATGTCAGAAAGATCTTGGTTGAAAGCAGAGAATACCTGAAAGATATT